TTTCTTTTGGTTTATTGATTTTTAGTGCATTCGTATTGATCTTATTAGAGCACCTGTGAGAGTGACTCTCCGTGTTTTATTCATGTTATAAGAGCTGGTGGGCTCTTCGGTTATATGAACTCTGTAATTTGTTTCTTTTATTTGAGTAATCTATCGTTTTGGAAAAAAAAGAAAAAAATGTTAAAACAACAAGGTATGGACCACACTTCAACTACTATCTAATAACTATTACTTTTTTTTTTAATAGGATCAACATCGCTAAAAGAATTAGTTAGTGAACTAAATTGTTACCCACATCAATAATCGATTTTGATCCAGCAAGTATTTGTTTTGCTGATTTGGTCAAATGCATCTCAACATAAGTAACAGTTATTTTAATATAAAAAAAAAATACAATATCTTAATTTTATTTTTGTCAAAGCGAAACAAAAGGTCATGTACTGAGGACAAGCTAATTAGTTCCCTTGAATTGGTCATATCCGAGCTAACCATTCAGATTGTTCACCAAGTTATTTTGGGTGCTATATCATCATCTACATAGCAGTCACTAGGATAAATAGCACATTGAAATTTACAATTCTGCCACGACCTTTTTCATGCCAAAAAGGTATTTCTAACACAAAATTCATTAACATCGTAGTAGATCGTGCATATTGATAAATGTAAACAAAAATGAAAAAAATAAGAAAAATTGAAAACCCATTAGTAAACATTAAAGACTATCCTTATCCCCAACCCAATCCAACCCAACCTAATAATTAAAAATTATTTCTCTCTCCTCCACTTACACAACTCAACCTTACAACTTAATTTATCTTTATCTCCAACCCAACTCAACCTAAATATTTATTTTATTTTAATTTATTTAAAAATTATAATTTTATTCCAAAATATATCAAGTGTGGTCTATATTTGTAGAATGAAAAAATATGAATTTTAATATTATTTTTTATTTTTTTTAAGCAGAAAAAAAAAACACGTCTCGCACACTATAGCTCAATTTTTATGATCTTTCTTTTTTCTTTTTTAATTTTTTATTTTTTTTTAATCGATAGCCCACTCATTGGGGTCACCGATAAAACTAGTCTAATAATATTCAAACATCACACAAAGAAAATCTATGGCTAACCTCCTTCCTTATTTTTCAAATTTGGATACTAGTGGCCTCGAACTCCTCTTATCGTATTTCTTCCTTCTACGAGTCATATAACTAAATCGACTAGAGCAACAGATCCTGAAGTGATACATCTATGTAATGAAAATGCATAATCTATAATTGAAAATCAATTACTAAACCAAAACTGAACATGTTCAAGATCAAATCGTGAGAAGATTATATAGTTCACTAATTCATACCCAAGAATGAAATGCCCAAGCTATTCTCGTAGTTGGACTCTCGGATGTCCAATTTATTTTACTAATATGTTCCTAAATTTCAATTGCTTAGATTTTTATTGTTACAATATTAGTAAATTTTTTAGAGTTTACTATATGGTTCCCCACATGTTCTTGATTTTGGATCATGTATATTTTTCTTGTTGTAATATTTGTAGTTTTTTAAAGTTTACTAAATGATTCCATATATGTTTCTAATTCTCGATCACGTATGTTTTTCTCGTTGTAATGTTTGTAGATTTTTAAAAAGTATGCTAAAAGTTCCCCACACAATTCTTAATTTTGGATCTGTAGATTTTTTTCGTTGTGAGGTTGGTAGATTCTAAAATATACCGATTGTTTCCTACACGCTCTTAATATTGGATTATATAAATTTTGCTCGTTCTGATGTCTGGAATTTTTTAACGTTTACTAATGATGAGTTCTCAACTTTTGTGGTCTTAGTTTTTTGTTTGCAATTTTTGTCAAATGCACAATTTAATGGGGAGTTAAAAAACTTTATATTAGATATTTAGTTTTGTCGAAAAAATAGATTATGGTGCTACAAAATACAATATTTAATTACTTATATTATTTTTCATTATCCAATTGGCTTCCAAAACTAGTCATGGTCATGTTAGTTTCCCTACCAAGCATGATTTGTTTTCTCTAAAAAATAAACTATATATCTCATTTTTTTCAATAAAGATAAAAAATAAAATAGTAACAAAAAGTAA